TCCCCCAAAGTGCGGTTTCCCTACTAACAAAAAAAGCTGGTGTCTCCAGAAGCAAAGGGAAGGCTTTGTGGAGGGACCCACACACGGAGGGTTCTGTGGGGATGCAGAAGGGCTCAAAAAAGACCCGGAGCTTACAAGTGCCCTCCCACCAGGGTCACTCAGGACCCCTCTGCTTCCAGTTCAAGGTGTCTGTGCCCTTCAGGCTGCCCCAGGTGCCAGAGGGTGGGTGGAGTTGGAGCTGCAATCCACGTACCGGTACCGCTCCACGGAGCTCTGGCTCGTGTGCCCCACGTAGGAGAACTTCACCGAGGTCCTGGCAGGGGCCAAGAGCAGTTAAAACCATCACACAACTCCTCCTCCTGCTGCCCCCCTCCCAGCCTAAAAAGTGCAGGACCCCTGGAGGTTTTTCCTGCAGGGATAGGCAGGGCTGGAAGCGCAGCCTCTGGGGAGAGCAGAGAAGCACCCACCTCATGAAGATCACGACGTTGTGGACCTTCACCTTGGGGTATGTGCAGAAGAAACTGGAGGAGACCAAAGCAGAGGGTCAGCACTGGGTTTCACAGTCGCCAACAACGATTTATAATGATTTTTTTTTTTTTTTAACAATTATATTTATAGTTATCGTCACCACAGTAATTTCCCACTGGTGTTAACTCCAAAACCACATCAGGACACCCCGACAAAAGGGCATTTCAAGTGATTTTTTTTGTTTGTTTGTTTGTTTGTTTAGCAAACAGCTGCTTTCCAGGAAGCCAGGAGAAAAACTGGGTCATTTTCAAAGCCCAGGTTCCTCTGCAAACTTTTTAATAGAAGCCCCTTCAACCCCACCCTCTCTCCCCCAGCTCCCTCCAAGGAGTAGCAAACCCTTACTACACGTAGGAGAAAGGTCCACCCAGCTCTGCCTTGACGGTAAAATTCACCTGTAACAGATAAAAGCAAACATTGCTGATGTGCAGCTCGAGCACCCCCTGGTTTTTTTGGGGGGGGATTTCCCGCTTGCTGACGCCTTTGGGGCCATGAGATGTGGGACTGAGCAGGGCTCTGAGGTGCAGCTGAACCGCTCTCAGTGCCCAGGTTTCCCCCTTGAACCTCTGGGGGACAGGAATTACCAGTTTGTCACTCAGGGGGGGGATGCTGGAGACGTTGGTGACCTGCTGGGTGCCCACCACCGTGTTCATGTACTGCACCTGGCTGCTCAGGCTGGCCACTGCCACCGAGTAGAAGTTGGAGTTCCTGATCCTCAGGGTGGCCTGGAGGGAGAAAAAGAAGAGATGTGGACGGCAGGGACCTTTCCCAGCAGCTCCAGGTTCATCCCTCCCTACAGAAGGCACAAAACCCGTGGGAAAACTTTACCGTGACAGCCAGAAGGACGACGGAGTTCTTGTGGTCGAACCACACCTGAACCACTTTAATCCCCTCGTCCTCCACCAGCACGGAGTGTGGGAAGAGGAAGAAAACCACCAGCCCGCAGGCCAGGAGGCAGAGCAGCACCGAGAGCAGGACATAGAGCTTCCTGGGGAAAAGGCAGGGAAGGGCTCACCTTTCTGTGCCCTCCCAACCCTGGGGAGACTCTGGATCTGAAAACCACCCCCAACACCCACTCGTTCCTCCTTGGCACAGACACGGACGCTGCTCTGAATTTTCAGCATCTCAGTTGCTCAAAACCCCCCTTTTCGAGCAGTTTATTTTCTGAGCAACCACAGTTTTGGGCTCACCCCCTCCCCCACCCCCTCAAAGTGTTTCCCAGCCGGGTGGTTTTGCAGATGCCCTCAAGAAGCTTCAGCAAGTAAAAGGATGGTGGTTCTGGGAACTCTCCCCCCCCAGCGGGATTTCACGGGGGAGGATTCAAAGTTACACTTTTAAACTGGCTTTGTCGGTGGGAGGGGATGAAAACAGATGAAGGAGAAGCTGCAGACTGGGGTGAAGGGTTTAGCTGCAGCAGTAAATGGTATAAAAATGAGCCCTGTTTGTAAATCCTCCCCTCTGTGAACTCACGTTCTCTGGGGACGAAGCCTTTGGTCGCTGTAGGGGATCAGGGCCACCAACTCATTCACCTGCTCTGGGGAGCAAAGGGAAGCAAAGGGAAGCGTTATCTCATCCCACAGGTCAAACAAACGACATTTCTATGAGCAACTTGAAACAAAAATTCATCATTTACAATAAAAACGACTTAATATATCGCCTTAAACACTTGGTAAAGGGGTGTTTAGGGCCAGAGAGGAGCAGTCACCTGTGGGGATGCAGCCAGTGCCTTGGCAAGTGGGACAAGTGATGCTGTCCTGGCCCGTGAATTCAACGTAGGGGAACTTGGCAATGTCTTCCACACGGTCTTGGCTGTCGAGTAAATCCTCCTCCTCCTCCTCCTCCTCCTCCTCCTCAGCTGCCTTCCTCTGCCTCGGGGCAGCGCTGCTGCCGGAGGGGAGGGGAAAAACCGAACCCATGGCAGCTGCTGGGGGAGGGTCCCTTCACCTGGACACCCTGGAGGCAGCAGGAGCAAGTGGGGGTCGTTTCAAGGGGGTTTTTAACCCGCTCGTGGACAAGGGGAGCACAGCCCCGAAGCCCCCCCCTGACACCCCACCCAGGAGGGCTCATTCCCAGCCCCTCAAACCATTCACCCCAAAACCCAACGGGCTCCACAGGCACACCCACGGCCCTCCAGGACCCCCAAAAGGAGAGGCAAAGGGCAACCTCCTCCCTTCCCCAGGCAGCAGCATCTTCTCAGACATCCCCCTCCCCGAAAATAAGAAGTACCAGGCCTGGTGACGCCCCCAGAAACACCCCAGAGACCCCCAGACCTCACGACAGGACTACAGACCCCCTGGATGCCCCCCAGGAACCCCCTGGGACCAGAAACACCTCCAGGGACCCCCAGACAGGAACCATCCCTGGTGCCAAGCCCTAAGACACCCCCAGACCCCCTTGGATCAGAAACACCCCCAGAGAACCCCCCCAGGGGAAGAACCATCCCTATCCTGACCCCCAGGACCCCCCAGAACCCCCTCTCAGGGACCCCCCAGATCTCTGGGATCACAAACACCCCCAG